GACGTAATGGGGTAGTTCATCCTCTGGCACAAACAGGACATTATATTGACTGCTTCTTCACCGCGTCCCTCTCTCCCAAATTTGGAGCGAGTTGTTGAGGTCAGGGAGATATTTTCACCGTCTCGTGACCACCACATTCCTGAGATGCAACATTCTTCTCCGCCTCCTAGCGAGCATGTGCCTGATAAGCCACAACCTTCTCCAGCTCGTACCGAGCAAGTGCATGATGAGATGCCACAGTCTTCTCAACAAGCACAGCCGATACATGAACAACGAGTGCCTCCTGAAGAAGGTGATGCACAAGAAGATGAGGACGTGCCTAAATGGGAACTTCGAAAGAAGCATCCAATCACCATAATACCAATTTATGTTCCGATGAAAGACGTCTCGTCGGTGTCCAAGTGGTATTCCCATGACCAGTTCAAGCCTGAGAACCAAGTTAAAAAAGTCCTATCACGGGCTTCTGAGGAGGCCGTCACTAGCAAACTCTACGAAACAGCAAAGCAGTATCCAAATGTTGATGCCATCAAATAGTCAAAGGATTGCCCGAAAACATATGAAAGAGGCAAGCCCTTTCTACCAAACCAGTACATCTAGCGCCCAGTGGCGGACCCAGGATTTTAGAGTAGAGTATGCCCATGGCAAGAAATTTTTTGGATGAACAGCATAAAAAGTTCACAAGAGCCAAGACATTTGAATTTTGATTACCTCTGAACATAGCAAAGGCCAAAGGGATTTGAATTTTGATTACCTTTGAACGAAAAAAATCAAATCGAGGTACTAGAGCAGTCGGGCTCGCCGGCTCCTGTGGCTCGGGTCGTGCCGAGCGAGCAGCTCTGGCTTCGCAGCTGCCGGGGGAAGCGGGGCGGCAGGGGGGGACGGGGGGCGCTGGTGCCGCGAGCGGCCGCGCGGCCTGGCGGCGGCACGGCGCGATTTCGCGTCCGTCCTACTCGAACGTTCCAAGCTGCTGGCTGCCCTACCCCTACGGTAGCCTCCTGATGGGTTTGGGGAGTGGGGAATTGGAGATTAGGGAGTGGGAAGGCCAGATGGGCCATTGGGTCGTCCGGTTAGGTGTGGCCTGTGGGCTGCTTTTCAGTTAGATGCGAATTACAGGCAGAAAATAGTGAAGAGTCGTAATTTTGAGATCTTAACTATATTGTACATGTATATACCTCTAAGAACTACTAAATTTTTTTCCAAAAATGTTGGGTATGCCTGGGAATACCCGGGCACAACTGTAGGTCTGCCCATGCCAGCGCCTACCACTTGGAATGAGAAGGTTCCATGATTGGTACTTGCGTGTTCTCCCAACGAACATAGACCTCGTACAAGAACGCTTCCCCACCGGCACATTTGGAAGCCCAGTCGGGAAAATTGTCTTTGACTTCAATGACATGCAGACATGCTTTCACCTCGGAGCAATGGAGATGAATCTAATTCGCACGTGGTGCCTGTAAGTCCTTGTCCTCCCGATATGATATGAATATAATCTTTGAATTTTGTTGTAACTAACCCACGCCGTGATTTGTAGAATGCAAGTGCACATTGTAAAACAATGCTAAGTGTGAAAGCCGGGTATATAGACCCTCAAGCTATAGTATAAACAAATTTTAATTACTTTAAACAGTGGAAACTGGATGATAAAGAGCTAGCTGCTGGAAAGACCCTTCGAGAAAAAGAGCATATCCGTATGAAGAAACTAAGGGAAGAGTCCCTTAAGGTTGCGGCATACATTACCCTGGCTTTCAAAATTCTCCAACAGCACTCTACTATATGGCTACCATACAACTTCGAGTAAGTTCAACTCTATAAAGTTTTGTTCGATATATTTTATTCGATGCAAAAGAGCTTATCTAGTTTTATGATTAAATCAATGCAGCAACCACTGGATTTGTATAGACGTCGATGTCGGGAGGAGCATGGTATGGGTCTTTGATTCAATAGATAGGGACCCGGTGATATACAAAGACTTCATATCGATTCTCAAGACGTATACATATCGACAATCCTCATTAGCTTATATGTTTGTATACATACTTGTAACGTTCATTTTTGGATACTAACAAGTTGTATTTGTTAAAATAATTCAAACAGGGCATTTAGGTTCTACGTCACTAAACATCACGGAAGGCATGATCCAGCAAGGAAGGAAAAGCTGGCTATAAAAACACTATGTGTGGTAAGTGTAACTTACTTCTTCAGTACTCCATTACATGGCTATCAAAAGTATTACTTAACATTTCCATATACAAAACACACAGTGCCCCAAGCAGAAGCCTAGGAGTATACATTGTGGATATTATGTATGTTCTATGATAAGTAACACCTGTGCCTAAGGAGACACCCCTTAAGGGTAAGTTTGAACCTCTTCATCCGTAGTATAAAAACTTCGCATATGGTATGAAATACTAAACCAAAACTTGTTCTCTTATAGTAGAAAGAAGAGAAAGAAATAAAAAGAGACCCATACAAGGATGACCAACTCTTAGAGCTCGTCGGCGACCTTTGCAACTTCATATTGGACCAGATTGTACACGTTAAAGGTATCTACCATGACCGAGAGTCTGACTTAGGTAGAAATCCTCAGTACCAACACCTTTGTGAGACTGAAAGGCTAGCTCTAGGCCCCTGATAACAATATGTATGGAATTTGACATTGGTTTTACTTTATAAATTATGTCTATTTAATGATGGATTATATATATTCTTGTGAATTTGACTTGTAATTGTAGTTTATATAATACTATTGTGCTTGTAGTTTATATAATACTCTTGAGCGAACACGGTTCGGAACGTTGGTCGCGGGGTGTTCGGTGGGACGTTGAGCGAACGTGGTTCGGAACGTTGATCGCTCACTCGCAACGCGAACGCGGGAATACGCGGAAACAGGGCGGTTCTGGTCGAATTTGAATTGTAAATTTGAATTTTTTTTGCGAAAAAATGTACTGTAGGGGCGGGGGGCGGCTGGTACTAGCCGCCCCTATAATACCTATTTGTAGGGGCGGCTAATAACACCAGCCGCCTCTACAAATTGATTTGTAGGGGCGGTCTGGGAACCGCTCCTACAAATGCATGATTTGTAGAGACGGTTTGGTAGGGGCGGCTGGCCAAACCGCCCATACAAATGGTCTTGAGCCGTCCCTACAAATGATATATGTAGTAGTGTGAGGGTCACATCGCCTGGGGATTTCCCTCTTCATCAAGACATGTTTCATCCTAGCACATGATTTCTAATGTTCAGACATTTGATTTTAGGGGATTTATTCATGTTGTAGAAGCTCTAACTAGATGTTCTAATTTGGAGTTGATTTTGTTGTTATGATTGCATCACATAATAAGCAGATTTTGATATGTTCTTATCGAGATGGAGATGAAATGATTTTTCTCTGGATGTTACTAATTTGTTTTTATCGGGACGGAGATGGATATCGAGAAGTGTTTTTCGATGTTGCAACAAGTGATTTATTTTGTTTCGAACATTCTTCTACTATGTTGCACGCTTGCAGTAGGATTCCTCTTAGTATTTTATAAGACGATTTTAGATGTTACAACATGTTGTAGCTATCTCTCTCCCTCTCTCTGCCTCATTAATGTCCAGACGGTACTACACAATGCGAGGTGAGTGCTGCTTTCGCACTTTAGCAAGCATATCTAAATACAATGGTGACCATATATACGGGAAAGGATGTCGTACGATGCATGCAACATTCTGAAAAAGGTATTGATACAATATTAGGGTAGAATTATTGCAACATCACTATATCTTAATGCGAAGGTTGTGCGAGGGTGGCGGTACCTAGGTAGGAAGCATGCCATAGAGTGGCTAATATTTAGAGGAAGTCAAGTAATGGGCGTAATGACCAAAACATCATATTGCAAGGTGAGGTGGAGGAAAGAGGTGAGCTAGCTTGGCGTTGCAGTCGTCGACCAGCTAAACATGGGATCCAATGCTCTTCATCTGCATATGCATGTCTTTGATTCTTGCAAGAAATAATAAAAGGTGTGGGTGGGTAGAGGATGACAAGTGGGTCATGTGCAATAAAATATACTATGTATAAAAGCGTGTGAAGAGTAAATATGTTATATGAGCTAGTCTATAAACTTATGTGAAAATAACATGTATGGTCTAATAATCAAATGCGTGCAGCTTGCCTCAACCATAAAACTTGCTCTTAGAGTCTAGACTAGAATCTAACAAGTGGGGGAAAACGTTGATTATCGTAGGATCCACCGTCAGACAACCACTCTAGGATGGCTACGTGACTACTGTGTTTGGTTCGTGTCGTGAAACCGTCTGAAATCATCGGATCCAAACTCCGACCCTAATTGAAGTGTTTTGTTTGCGTCTTGGAATGGAGTCGTCCGTCTCCAAGCCACTTTGCCAAGTCCAACGAAAAGACAAATTATCTCGGACGAGTTCATTCGTTCCTTTGAAAAGCACTGGATGATCCGTTCCACGCCGCACCATTCCATTCTTGATCAGTTCAATCTCCAAATCAAACACGCTTATACCTGAGCGTCCGATCCGTCGAGACGTCCGGCAAGTTCCAAAGTGCAAACGTGACCTATGAGTCTGACCATTCCCCGGCGTTTCCGGGTCAACCGTCAACGTCTCAACGAGGCTTCCTTCGAAAACGTCTCAACCAGGCACAAATCGGATCTTGGGCTGCGCAGTGGATTCCTGCGGGGTGGACCGAGCACGTACTCGCGCGCCGACAGGTGGGCCCTCGGTCGCCGAGCCGCTGACATTAGCGGAATAGCCAGCAGCCCAGCACCATATTGACAAATCACTCCCGCCAGCTCTCCCACTGCCACCTGGGACCCATGTGTGAGCTGCAGCTGCAGGCGTCACGCATCCGGGACGCCGGGACTGGCCCACAACCCATCGTCTCCACCGAACCAGACATTCCACCTGACTCACTGCTCCTCTCCTCCTCGTAGCCGATGGCTTGATCGGATCCCCCGCCCGGCCCAGATCTGTCGCCGCCGCCGCCGTCGCCATGGGCGACCACTCCGACTCCGATTCCTCCCCCAAGTCCTCCTCCTCCTCGTCCTCCCCCACCGCCCGCCGCCGTTCCTCGCCGCAGCGCGGCCGGTCCCACTCTGACGAGAGCGGCAGCAGCGACGGCGTCCTCGTCGAGCTTCCTGCCCAGGTATGGCGCGAAGCGGCCTCCGCTCGGATACCACGGGCCCGGACCGACGGCTTCTTAGAGAAGCTTCTCTCGCTCTGCAGGAAGCGCGGAGCCCCGGGGCCGACCCTGACGGCGGCGTCCTCGTCAACATGCCCGCTGACGACGCCACCAGCGGCGAGACCTTCGAGGACGCACCCGACGATCTCGCGGCCGCGGGCTCGCGCTCCGCGCTCTCGCTGGACGAGTCCATGGCCGTCATCGACTTCCCTGAGGTGTCCAGCACCAGCGCCGAGCTCCGCAAGTACCAGGTGCTGCTTCCTCTTTCCTCTCCGATCGGATTATATTGGTTTTGTGCGTGGTTTTGCTGCGGAAGCTCTAGTTCGTGATGTGACGAACAATGGTTTTTGTTCAGGAAGAGAAGGAGGTGTTTGCGCGGGAGGCAGTGGCACTCCGGAGGTTGCTACAGGAGATGGTGGGGCAGGAAGCTTCAGTTGCGTTGCATGGAGAGGACGCTGATGAGACACTGTTTCATTCGATGCTGGACGACTGCTCGAGGCTTGTGCTTGAACTTAACTCGGTGGCACGGGCCAGGGAGCAGGAGATTGAGAGCCTACATGCAAGGGCTGCAGAGGCAGAGGTATCAAGGGAGGTTGCTAATGCATACCTGGGTTCGTGGGGGGAAGGGTCTGAGCAAGCTGTTGGGCGGATGCTTGCATCAATTGATGCTGTGGTTGGGCAAGATGATGCCAGCTTTGAGGGTGCTGACCAGGATGGGATTTCTGTTCTGGAAAGGAAGACTTCATTGCTAGTGGAGAGGTACAGGCAGGTCTCGATGGGTATTGAACAGCTTGAGCAAATTTTAGCTGAGGTGAAGCCTGGTTTCGTGGCCACAGGGCACGGTGACCTTTCTACCACCTTAAGTATTCTTGCAGATGAATTGGTCGGTAGCAAGAGAAATGAGGTGGATTTACTGCAGAAGATGAATGCTTTTGCTGAAGAGAAGAAGGCTCTTTCTGATGAACTTGAGGAAGTGAAAGCTGCTAGGAATGCAGCGAATGCTGAGGCAAGCAAAGCAAAGGCAGAGTCTGAGCAGATGGAGCATAAGTTATCAACGACTAAGGAGAAGCTCAGCATGGCTGTTACGAAGGGCAAGTCACTGGTGCAACACCGTGATTCCTTGAAGCAGGCCTTGGCTGAAAAGACGGGTGAGCTTCAGAGTTGCATGGCAGAGTTGCAAAAGAAGTCTGATGCCCTGCAAGCAGCTGAGAGCAGGGTTGAGGAGCTAAGGGTTTTCTAGATGAAAAGACGGATGAGCATGAAAAGTGCTTGGATGAGCTTGAGAAACATATAGTGCATGGGAAGCTGCTAAGACCAGCATCGAGCAACTAAATGAAGCAAACAGTGCCCTTGCTTCTCTGCAGGCTTCCCTTTCACTAAAGGATGGGGTTCTTGAATGCATTGAAGAGATCATGTCAGAGGCAACATTTCCAGAAGATCTTCTTTCCTTGGAGATGACAGACAGGTTGGGATGGTTAGTTGAGCAGAAGAAAATTGCCGATATGATCTTCTCAGAGCACCACAAAGTTAAAGAAATCTTGAGCTCAGTTGACATTCCAAATTCGGTCCTAGCCGCTGAACTTGATTCCCAGATCAGTTGGCTTGCCAGCTCACTGAACCAGGCCAAAGATGATGCGGTCCGGTTGCATGATGAGTCTGCTGAAATGTTGGCTAGACTGGCTGCACATGAATCAAAGTTGGTTTCAATGCATGAGGAAATTGGCCGTTTGACAATTATTCTGCTGGAAGAGAAACAGGAAAAGGATATTCTTGTAAATGAACATTCTGAATTGATGTCCCTATACACCGCTGCTGTTAATAAGTTGGCCCTTGTCTCATCACAAAATAATGAGCTGCTAAAGGCATTTGCTGAAATTTCTGATGTCACATTGGAGGGTAGTGAGCCTATGGATATTGGCGAATTGGTACAGCAGGGCCTCAGAAACATCCAACAAAGAACAAAATCTTCTCCTATCGAGAATGACAGTTTTGAGAAGCTACAGGCATTACTATATACCCTAGATCAGGAATCAACACTATGTAAGATGATTCTCGAGGAAGACATGATTGACAGATCTGAGAGGACTGGTGAACTGCAAAGAATGGTCGAGGAGATTCTTGTTCTGAAAAATGAGAAGGTGTCACTGCAGAAGGAGCTCGAACGGGTGGAGGAGAGATCAGCATTGCTTAGAGAGAAGCTGTCAATGGCTGTAAAGAAGGGCAAGGGTCTGGTACATGAGCGCGAAGGACTCAAGCAAGCCCTCGACGAGAAGAGCTCTGAAATAGAGAATTTGAAACAAGTTTTGGAAGGGAAGAGCTCTGAGATAGAGAAGCTAAAGCATGCTCTGGATGAAAATAAGTCTGTAACAGACAATATGAAGCAAGTTTTGGATGGGAAAAACTCTGAGATTGAAAGGCTTAAACATGCTCTGGATGATAGTTGTGTGAAAACAGAAAACCTAAACCAAGCTTTTGTTGAGAAAACCTCCGAAGCAGATAAAATAAAACGAGAACTGGATGGAAAGAACATGGATATTGAGAATCTAAGACGTGAGATAGAGTCAAGAGAATCTGCCATGACAGATCTCAGAGAGCACATTGAGCATCTATCGTTGCAGGCTGCACATTTGGAAAAGCTGCAAGTAGATATTGTTAGCCTTAATGATGAAAAGGTGAAATTAGAAAGCATGTTGGAAGAAGCCAGAGCTTCCTGGGGCACTCTTGCTGATTCAATATCAAGCCTTACTCTTCCAATTGATCAGCCTTTTGAGGAGCCTATGGAAAAGTTTAGCCAGATTGCCCAATATGTCCAGGAATCTCAAGTTGCTAAGAGTTCTCTTGAAAATGAGCTACACAAAGCAAATGAGCAAATTACCTTACATGCAAGCAGGCATTCTGACACCCTTTCCACGATAAACATGTTGGAAGATGAGTTGAGTAAACTAAAAGATCATATTTTTTCCATTTCTGAAGAAAAATGTCAAATACAGTTACATACTAATGCTGTACAGGAGGAGTTGGAGAAAACAAATGAGGAACTGGCAATCAATTTCAGGAATCTTGAAGATGCCAACACCACTATTAATTCACTACAAGATGCACTATCACAGGCTAGATCAAATATTTCTATTCTTGATGCTGAAAGGAATAAAGCTGAAGCTAAATATGAAACAGAAATCAATGCTCTTAATGCTAAGCTAACCAAATGTTTGGAGGAGTTGGATAAAACTCACGGGCACTTACAAAGTCATTCAACAGAACATCATGGTTACCTTGAGAAGCTTGGCATGCTTATAATGGATGATAGTCTCTTGTCTCTGATAGCTGAAGAATATGGAAAGACAATCAGCAGCTTGAGAGATATGTGCCTTATAGTCAAGAGTATGCATGAGCAGCTTTCTGTGAAGGGTTTTCAGAATGATCCAATTGTGGAGGTAATTTTTTCCTTATGATGATGCATTTTTTAGGATTCTCTGTTCTGTGCAGTGAAGTGAGATATTTTATTGCTTTATTCATCTTGTTGGCTTTTTAGAGCTATCTATACACTGTACTTCCTAATGCTTGGGCTGAGTTGTATGCTTTGTCTAATCATCATAGTTTCTAATCTAGTTCTGTGTTATCAGGCCTGTCAACTTTGTAATATTATTATCAGTGTGTGCAATTGCTTCCTACCAGTAAACAAGATAGCTGAACGAGTAAGAGTAATCTAATTAAGAGCGGTCAACATGGCGCATCTGATCTTGCTAGTAAGATAATTTAGGGCGATGATTGGAATCCACTGTTAACATGGCCATCTAGATTCACTTACTACATTATTTTGCCTGCATGTTGCGCGGGCGATGAAAGAGGTGGATCTTAATCAATTGTAAACTCCCCTCCCCATCTTAGAATATACCTTTTTCTCTTTTGTTTTTAGTTTAGTTTGCTTTATAATTCTTGCCAGGTATAATGATTGTGCTAACTTGACCTCTCGATGACCACAAAATGTAAGCAGGATTCAGAACTCTCAACACTTTTATCTCTTCCGGACTATGATAACTTTGTTAGAGAAAGATTGGTCAACAACCAAACTAGAAAAGGGAGTATTGATGACACTTCATCCTTCTCTACTATTGTTGAACAGTTGAGCAACCAAGCTGAATACTTTTCTAGTTTTTTAAAAGATTTGTCAACCTACATGAATAGCAATATTGTTGTGGTGCTTCATTCTCTGCAACTAGTGAGCAACACCTTTGCTCATACTCTAGAAGAGCATGCCATGTTAAAGATTGAATTGGGGAACAAGGATGCTCATAACAGAGCTCAAGAATCTGAAGTGCTTTCTCTACAAAAAGAGCTGAGAGCAATGTCATCAAAATGTATTTATTGCATCCAACAAATTGAAATTGTTTTTGATGATATGGTTGATCTTGGATATGCAATAGACTTGGCTACAGGCAGCTCAAGCATAGGGTCTGAACTAGAAGTAACTGTGTCTGATCTGAATAATGAGGATACCAGTGATTATAATAAGGTGGCTGATACTTTGCTTGCTACGATTGACACACTTAAGTCCAAGTCTGAAAAATTATTTGCCATTAAGGGGCTTGTGATAACTTCATTGGATGACTTCAAAATGAGGCTGAAACAAGCTGAATCAGCTGCTGAAACTGCTTCACATGAGCATCAGTTGTCTGTTGAAAGGGTATGCATGCTGGAGAAAGAACTCAAAATATTACAGGATGAATGCAACAGAATGGAGCTAAATATGCAAGAATATAAGGAAAGGGAGGGTGCATTGAAGGCAAGGGAGTTAGAGTTGCTATCAGTTGAGCACACTCAAATTTCAGCAGACAGAGGTAAAATCGTGCCACACCACTAGTAATTGGAGGTTCTTATATTCATTATGTTCTTTTTGTTTCACACTTATATTTACCTGTTTCATCTTGCCGAACTCTTTTTCTTGAAAATTTCAGGTATAACTGACAATGCAATTTCAAAAGATCAAATGGAAGCCCTTGTTGAGAAGATAAGTAAGTTAAATATGCTGTCAGGCGAGTCAAATGTACAGAGGGAAGAGGCTACATTCTCTAGTCCGCTTGACAAACTTTTTGTTGTCATTGATGAATTCAGTGCACTTCAACGTGAGGTTGAGACCTTAAGATATGAAAATGAAGATTTACAGTTAAATATTGAATCCTATACTCGTGAAATTGAACAGCTAAGAGAGGTCTCCAGAAATAGTGATCTAATTAATGGGGAGCTGGAATCCAAAGGAAGTGAACTTCTTGAGGTAACCGTTAGTATGGAGCGAATGATTCAGCGGTTAGGATATCTTGGAGGAAAAGATGTACTAGAAGATAACAAACCTGCTACCACACAAGCTCTCTTATCGAAGCTGGAAAAACTAATAATTGCTTCAAGTACTGAAGCTGGGAATGCTAAATCCATGACACAGGAGCTGGGAGCAAAGTTGCAGTCAAGGGAAAAGGCAGTTGATGAGCTATCAACAAAAGTTAAGATGCTTGAGGATTTGTACCATGCGCGACTTGCTCAGCCAGAAGCTAGTAAAGACAGATCATTTGAAGCATCTTCCTCAACAATTGGTTCAGATATATCTGAGATTGAAGATGCGGTAAGTCTTGTTTCTGCTTGTACTTTTGTCATTAGTTCTCCTTTTTAATCTTCTGGCATATGCTACTGGCATTCATAATGTTTTGAAGTAATGTATTGTTCTTTCGTTGTGATATTCACTGGTCATATATGATTAACATTGTCTTTGTTATGGTGTTTCTGATGTTAGTAGTTTGTCAATGTGTTGCTCAGGAGCTATTCTTTGCATCCTAGCTCAGCTCTGCACAGATGTAATTAAGCATGTTTATAATTTGGTGGTTTCAACTACTCTGCAGGGACCAGTGGGCAAGGCATCAGTTTCATCTGTCTCTACAGCTGCACATGCTAGAACAATGCGGAAGGGGTCGTCGGATCATCTTGTTCTCAACATTGGTTCAGAGTCAGAACGATTAATTGCTGCGCAGGATTCAGATGACAAGGGTATCACAGCCTTCTTCTTTTGTGCTTTTGTTTTTGTGCGGAACAAGGAGGAGGGGGGGTAGTTCCGCTAATTTTCTAGTGTGTCAAGGGTATCGCAGCCTTCTTCTTTTGTGCTTTTGTTTTTGTGCGGAACAAGGAGGAGGGGGGGTAGTTCCGCTAATTTTCTAGTGTGTCTAACAGCACTGTATTTCTCATCTTTGAAGGGCGTATAAAATCACTCCATACATCTGGCTTCATTCCAGCTCAGGGAAAGCACATCGCTGATAGGGTCGATGCCTTCTGGTAAGCTGATTGCACAGTAATTGAATAATAATGCTGTACACGTGTGTTGGAAACTTAAAGAGTTTGGTGGACCATGCTCCATGCTCGACATTCTCTCATTCCCTTAGGCTCTAGTGGTTCAGTAACTTGCGCTTCTTAGCTCTACAGGTTTCAATTAATTTCGTAAAATGGATATCTGCCCTTTTTTTCAAAGATAAAAGGAATGTCTCTATTTCTCCGATGCTAAATGATTCTGTGAAATGTATATAGAACATAGGCTACAAAAGGATTACCTGCACCCTGATAATTCTAGCTGCTATACCCTTTACTTTCGTGTTACACTTAGTAAATTTCTTGTTACACCGAGGAGTTACCACATGTCAGTTTTTGATACTGCCTTCTGTTTCCAACAGTGATAGGAGCGCATATCAAGCCGAAATCAGTAGTTAGATGCATATAAAACTTCTGGTCAACAGTCTCAGGAAAAACAAAACAACCTTCACAAATACTAGTCATTTCCAACACTGATAGGACTTAGGAGTGCTTATCAAGCCCAACCAGTAATTAGGTTCTCTAGTTCTCTTGTTTTGTTTGTTCTCCTAAGACATTGTATCTGATCATGAAGTTTCAGTACTATCTTCACAAATATTTTGGTCTAATTTTGATACCTGGATTAAAATAGTTTGCATAATTTCATCTGGCTATTTGTTTGCACTAGATGCTTTATATTTCTGCATTTATGACTGGGCTCATTGGAAAGAAGAGTTAAATTCATAGAACATGACAAGTCAAATTTATTGCTTGAAATGAAATAAAAAGAATATTGTGCTTTATCCATTCTCTTGATCAATTGATTGTTGGGCTCTGATGATTGTGCACGAGGAGAATACTGCATCTCACTTCAGTTGGTCCGTTATGGTTTAATCAGCCTGTGTCTTTGTGTGTAGGGTCTCGGGGAGCCAAATTCTGATGAACCGGCCACGAGCAAGGCTAGGGCTTATGTTGTACTGGCTCGTTGTGCACCTATGGTTGCTGGGCAGCATCTTGTGACACTGCTTCTCAGTACCGAGACCCACCTCATAGCATAATTGTACAATAGCACGTATTAACAGTTTCTTCTTTCTTTCATACAATATATAGTAGATGTTAGAAATGTCATTCTTTTCATTTTCTCCCTCCTGCTCAGATTTGTACTTGAGCAGTATATGTTGAATTTTCGCACACAAAGATGTAATGTGCAGAAAAATAACATTCTCATTCTTTGTTATACTGAAGAAGTGGTAGTTGTAGATGTGGCCCTGGTCACCTGTTGAGTCCCATCATCGTAAATTCGTTCCTGCAGCCGAGGTCTGAGGCGGTGAGGCCTTATGGGTCGACCTTTGACGTTGTATAGAAATGTATATAGTTGGCAACACCTTTTTCGCACCTCCCTCATGAATATTTTTCGATTGGAGGTGATTGGTTGTACAATCACAAATCTTTCTTCTAACAACATAAATAAATATAAATACGCGTTATCATGAATCTGCGTAGTTTCATAGGGCATAAATCTTCATGGCATCATTTGTGCTTTTCCACACAATTTGTAATTGAAAAAAATAGGTGTTTCAACGAAACAGCAACATCTTTAACACAATTGTTATATATTCAGCGTGAAATTTATCACCAAACCAAAAAAAATTGTGTTATTTTGTTTCCAGTCCAGTTTAAGTGATTACTACATGTGTTCTCTGTAACACTGGGTGTGAAGGAACATGCTTTCATCTCTTCTTTGAGTGTCCTTTTCAGTCAACTGTGTTGGGACACCATATGCATCTTCTGGGATTGCAGCCTTCCTCCACTAGACATGGTGATAGAAGCAAGGACTTCCTTTGTTGACAGTAGCTTTAGAGAATTGATGATTACAGCCTGTTGGGCCATTTGAAAAGTCAGAAATGGTGTTATCTTTGACAATGACCCTTTCAGCTTAGAGAAATGGAAAGAGATCCTCAGAGAAGAGCTTGGTCTGGTATGAATCAGAGCCAAGCAAGACAGGAGACTAGCTCTAGATTTGTAGCGAGAGAATTTCCTATAATGTTTCCCTCTCTTTTCCTTTGAGCTTTATAAGCTCTGTAACTTGTGCTTATCCTTTATATATAGAAATACAAAAAATTTAGGTAGAGGGCTCCCCTGCCGACGCCTCAAAAAAAAGTTTACTGATTAGTCTCGTCTGCAGTCTTTTGTTCGCTGATCCTTGTCCTGTCCCATTTCAGCCATCGCTTATCAGGTGGCGGGCCCAGTGATCGGTAGGTTCGGGACTATCCTGGAATCTCACCCAAAAGTTTTTTAGTAGTCGCCCATGAGAATTTGGCCCAAGGTGCCCAGTGTTCACTCGTCATCTCTAGCCCAGGCAGCAACGGAGCCAGCCCGACCCGAGACGGCGCGACCCCCGACCCCACGCTTCCAGCGGAGCGCGTCTGCGCGCTCGACCGACGAGCGGCGACCGCCCCCGCCGGCGCCCCGCTTGTGTCTAAAAAAATAGGTCCCAAAACAAAGACCCTATGATTTTCCGCGATCAAACTGAAATTTCTCTCGCTCAAAAGTCAAAAAACGAGCCTGCCCTAAACTGAACTTCTCAAAGACTCGTGTACAGTGTAAACTCGTGACTGCCCCTCCCATGGCGAGCACGCGAAGCAGCTCATCGCCTTCTCGGGGCGCCGGCGATGGAAAGAAGCGCCTCGAAGCACTGGCCCTGGACAGGGTAGCGGAGGCCGCCGACGCAGTTGCCTCCGCTGCGTGCGCCGGCGAGGTGGTCCGCGCGATTCACGCCGTCGCATCCCTCCTCTTCCCCGTCGACTCTGAGGCCGTCGCCGGTGAGGTCCCGAGCCCTAACCTCCCACGGCTCTGCACCAATGCTTAAATAATATCTACTTCTTACCACTTGTGGTCTCTAATTCGTGTCGTATGTGTGCACTCTCTCGCCTGCAGGTACCGTCGAGGAACCCTTCAGGAGGCAGGTGAGACTGTGTGAAAGTTTGAAGGCACTAGTTAATTTATTTGAGCGGAATTTTGTTTTTTTTGTTTTTATTTTTATTTTTATTATTTTACGAAATCTTGCTATATTTATGTGACAAATATGGTCTCCTAGAAAGATTGATTGATGGGATGTCTCTGTCGAAACCAGAAAGTCTGTTTTCACTTGCATAGGTGCATTGGTTTTATATTTAGATAGATATACAACTGAGGTTGTACAAATTATATTCTGTAAAAAATCGCCATCTAGCTAAGCACTGAAATAGATTAATGTGCCACAAGATCTTGTGGTTGATAATCATTTGTGTGACATATTACATGAATGATTCCATCATGTCTAACACAGCGTGTTACTGAGACCACTTTTACACTTAGGTGAGAAGTTAGCAGTACCCAAGTACGGAATTGTTTGAACCTTTGTCTAGTGATGAAAGTATGAAACATTAATGACAGTGTACTGAGTGTAAATTTGGGAGATAAATTAGTGTTTTCAAAGGCACATACCTCTTTCTGTGTGATATGGAAAATTTGAGTTTAGAACCATGGTATTTGGAGGTTTCACCACTTCCTGTTTTCTCAGATTGTTGAAGCTGTAACCCTCAGCAATGATGAAAGGGAATCTTGGAGGCGTGCCTTTTATCATGGTCCAGCATTTCCTACTATGTCTAAGATATTGCTTGGCAGTAAGTGTACTACTCTGTCTTTACACCTAAGTATTGCCAACTGCAGTCTCATACTGCCATGATTCATTTATGTCCACTGTCAGCTACAATCTCATGACATGAATTAGTTGTTTGCACTTGATACAAAATTGACTTGTGCCATCAATCAGAGGGGATCTTCTAGAGTCCTTTAAAAAAAATACATTACAGATAAAATTTGTTGAAGAATGAAGTATTGAATTTCATGTCCAAACTCATTTATATCCACTGTGTCTTGGGTGAAAGCAAGAAAGGCTTGCTTGCTGGCAATCTTGTGGAGCACTCTGTCTGCCAATCGTCCTTAATTGCTTGTTCAATCATATACTCTTCCCATCACTTCTACTTAAAAATGAAAAGAATTTCAAATGTGGCAGTGTTGAACGAGAGGCGAATCCAACTTTTATTTGAACGCCAGTTGTTTGTGTCCCTTGTTGTCTTTACAGCAATTTGGTTCAGAAGATTTTAATTAGTTACTAAGCACGTTGTCAATTTGTTACTCTTAAACATTTTTAGCACTCTCCAATCCATTCTGCCACTTTGGTTGTCAGATGTTGCCTTGAAGTGGTTGCCGAAGATTAATGACTCTGCAAGGAAAGAGATTTATGATTCATTTTTTGTCAAAGGGCCTCCAACTGAAGTGATTCAAGCTCTTGTTCCAGCGCTATCTTATAAAGAAGTGTCTAAGGAGGATCATCGGACTTTTTGCTCGAACGTTGAAAGGTTATATTCATAAATAGGTCCCTTGCAGTTTAGCTTTGTGGACTTCACTAGGTCCCTTGCCTTTGCAACATTTACGCTGTGGATGTTTATGTATGTATACTGTTGTTCATTCTAGTTATTGCAAAAGCAATTGGGGCATATTTTCATCTTATCTTTAGCTAGTTGTTGTTGTTTCTTGGAAGTTTGAATTCCATGTGGTATTTCCTTTTGCTCTCACATGATATCTTTTTTAAGTTTGTTACTTAAGAGTTTTACTTATTTCAGGCTACTGATTCTATGCTTACTTGATAATAAGGGGGTTTTCCAAATTGTTGTGGACTTTACTTGTTCTAATAAGCATGGTGAAGACATTCACAACCCAGATAAAACAATATTCGTATCAAGGGTTGCACAATTACTTGCGTCTGTTCCAGATAAAGCAAGATTGGGAGCTTCAGCTGCACTTACATCAGCGTATCCTTTTCCACTATGGAGTATCTTATACTTTACTAGACAATTAACCTGAGTATCTTGTTCCTTCCTTGCGGTATGTTATGTTGCAGTGCGCCCACAGATCATAATAAAAAAAAAATTGGGTCAAAACTTTTTTTGCCATTTATTTCTGAGTTTGTCGTTTTCAAACTCAAATAATGTTCTTCTGATTTGTACTTGTAATTGTAAATGCTTAACACAAACAAGCTCATTCTTCAAGCATGTTGTCAGCCAACTTCTTGCTGGTGCAGAAGCAGCAACTATTGAGTTGGCTGCTGACAAAGAGGCTAATGAACATTGTGTCTTGAGTTCTATGTTCCACTTTGTGGGTGAAGTGCTATCTCGTGTTTGTCGTCGTGGGTCTACTGGTGAGTATTGATCTCTCAAAGTGCAGTTTTATATTTTGATTGTTCTATGAACTTAAAACATGTTTGGTTCTTTGGCATAAAGTTTGTACAGTTTAAGCTTTGTGGTATTTGTTTGCTACCACTGTCACACAGCAAGGAATCTGATCATTTGCTTGTATGTCTGATAACATCTTGTTGGTTTCAGGTATTTTAGTTGCTGAATTGATTCCTAAGATTCGCAATCACCTACATAGATGTGTGCCACCAGATCATAGGGCCACAAGTCCTGAGATGATCCAGCATGTTTGCCAGTCTCAGTTTTGGTTCAATATGGTTGAAGCAATGAGAGATCAGCATTCTATTGAAAGGTTGACAGAAGAGTTGTTGCGTCAACTTGCATCACATCATATAAGTGATGAAGAGGCTTATTGGATTTTGTGGACCCTCTTTAATCAGAGCTTCAAGCGTTTAACTGTCATGAGGTGAGTTAGGACCGGTCGATTTGAATTCTAAGCAACACTGGAAGTCAATCTTCCGGTAGCTTAGTGATTAATTTTTTAGTTCATCTACATATGTGGCATGCAGTATGCTACTCCCTCCATTCCAAATTATAAGACATTTTGGGTTTTCTAGATACGTAACTTTTGTTATGCACTTAGAATACACTGTGGGCGCATTCTCTGAGGTTATTTCTTTGCACATTCTCACTACAATTATTCATCTTTCCGATCACTGTGTAGTATAAATTATTTGGATGTGTTCTCTGAGGTGTACTTTGTGATGAATATTGTTTTTTTAGTATGCCATATTGCCATCAACATTTTCAAGTCAACGTGTATGTATTTTGGCCTCTCATATAAGCACCTATTTCATTGATACATAATTATCTTTTCTTTATGTTTGGTTTTTTAATGTGAATAATTCCATCCAAATCCATATCACTATGAAGGGCTATGTTTCATGCATTACTTTCGTTATACATCCTACCCATGCATGGCTATTCAATGTACAAATGGAGTAGGAAACTTTAGCATCTACTAAATTTGTGAAGTACTTCTATGTGTTTTTTTTTTCAGTTTCCCTCATTATGTAGCTTCATCTCATCTTACTTTAGGGCGATGTTTGTTGACAAGTTTTTACTCTGGAAAACATTTCCTTTATGCTGCCTGAGATGGATTCTTCACTACACTGTCTTTGAATGTCCACCAAATTCAACCACAGAAATTCTGATGCAAAGGACACCGAACTTTTTTGGTATATTGCAAAGTTTGGTTAGTATTTGGTCCAGGAAAGAGTTTATTCAATCATATTCAGTGGAGCAACAAGCTTGTATCCTTTGAGCCACTGAAAATTACATTGCTTCATTTTTTTATACAAGTATTATTTGGCATCATTCTCCTTAATAAATGCAGATATTACTGCAGCAATTGGATTATGTTTAGAAAAGCTAACAAAAAAAGAATTAGAGACAACTAAAGATGTATTGAATTCTATTCTTCAAGGAGTAAGCTGTGAGTTCACCCCTGTACATTAGCTTAGCAGAATTTGATATGAATAACCATGACATCTTCTTGCTGAATTTTTTTTGTCACTCTAGGCAGGTTAGAGAGCCCAATTGATTTAATACGGAAGATGGCTAGTGCTGTTGCATTGACATTCTCTAAAGTTGTTGATCCGAAAAATCCTCTGTACCTTGATGACAACTGTTGTGAAAATGTTGATTGGGACTTTGGGGTTCTATCTCCAAAGGAGATTAAAGCCCCTTTAGATGCTGTAGAATCTAAAACTAAACCAAAAGCACGTGAGAACAAGAGAAATGCGGGTGAGAAGAAGGCAAAAGCAATAAAACATGATATTCCAGTTGTCAGAGCGAAAATCGTGGAGATCAATTCTATAGATCATGATCAAATGTCTGATACTGCTACGAATGGGCAGTTTGAGGAGGAAGAATGTGACGAGGAAAGCATGAACGTGGATGCATACAGTGATTCATCCCTAGAGCCATATGATCTATCAGATGATGACACAGATTTGCAAAAAAAATTCAGCCACCTGAGTGATCTTGCAGCAGCACTAAGAAAACCTGATGATCCAGATGGTGTAAGTTCCCAATTACTACTATCAATTATTTACAAAGAAAATATTACAAAATCCTGAGCTTTTCTTTGATGTTTCTTTTCTGTACCCAAGGTTGAAAATGCTCTTAATTATGCGGAAAAGCTTGTGAGAGCATCACCTGATGAATTACGCTACAACTCTGGTGACCTTGTTAGAGCACTGGTGCATGTTCGCTGTTCTGATGTGGCAATGGAAGGAGAGGAAGATTCTGCTGAAGAAAAGAGACAGAAGGCATTGGTTGCCTTGCTGGTAACCTGCCCATTTGAATCTCTAGATGTTCTGACAAAATTGCTATATTCATCTAGTGTGGATATTGGTCAGCGCATTTTGATTATTGATGCTATGACTGAGGCAGCACAGGAGCTTGCTGAAACTAAAACTGTGAAGACAGAACAGCGACGTGGTAACTTGATAACTGACACTTCTCCCTCTTGGCTGGTTCCGAGTAATATAGGACCTCCTGGGGCAGGCCCTTGGAGAGAGGTCTCTGAACCAGGAACACTTTTAAGTTGGTCACACCGTTATGAAAGAGAAGTTCCATCTAAATCAGGTCAATTGAAATCAGGAAAATCTCGTAAATGGGGTCTTGGAAAAGCGAAAGACTTGCAGGTCGAGTGGTCTAAAAATAGATTTCCTTTGTATGCCGCTGCTTTTATGCTCCCTGTGATGCAAGGATATGATAAAAGATCACATGGTGTTGACTTGCTTAATCGGGACTTTGTTGTCCTCGGTAAATTGATATACATGCTCGGTGTCTGTATGAAGTCTATGGCCATGCATCCAGAAGCATCAGCTCTAGCTCCCGCTCTTCTTGACATGATAAGATCTAGGTATTCACCACCAGAACTGTCTACATGTTTAGAAACTTGTATGTCAACCTTGTTTTTCTAAATATTAACGCGAACTCTTTTTCTATAGAGATGTTTCACGACATGCTGAAGCATATGTCAGAAGGTCTGCGTTATTTGCAGCGTCTTGCATATTGATATCTTTGCATCCGTCATATGTGGCGTCATCTCTTATTGAAGGCAACCAGGACATTTCTACTGGATTAGAGTGGATACGCACATGGGCTCTTCAAGTTGCTGAAGCTGATCCTGATACAGAATGCACATCGGTAAGTACTGCGATCATTACTGGGAAGTTATATATTACCTGTATCTATATGTCTCATACGGTTCTGCTCCGTGGCATATAGTACCCCTTTTAGCCCCATAATCATGGTACACAGGTACAGTACTACAACCAGCAAGCAAGTTAAGGGAAAATGTAATATTGAATTCGAATTCTGTGGCCTTTGCTTTGCTTTTAGTCTGGAAAGAAATTTGTTTACTTGGTGAAATGATTTACTATATCACCGCATAATCTTAACTTCACACTTTCTAGACATGACACTGCCAATCATCCCATTTTGTTGTCCCATCGAGTGACTTTTTCAGTAATTCATGGGCTTGTGTTGTATAGAGAAACCTTGCTAGCAATCCATGTTGGATATACAAGCTTGTGCTGTGCTGTATAGTGAAACCTCACTAACAATCCATGTTGGATATACAATCTCTGTTAATACTGTTGCTTATGGTGTTTTCTCTCATGCTTGACTCCTTTAGATGGCCATGACCTGCCTGCGGCTCCATTCTGAGATGGCTCTTCAGACATCGCGCGCACTGGAATCTGCAAATCACTCCAAGACTGGCAGAGCCATACCTTCTAAGCTTGACAGCATTATCCTACCATTCGGAAACATGATGTGATAAACTGTACAAGTTGTGGAGGGATGTGTCCTGGTGTTGTACATAACTTACGTAGCAAATTATGGTTATTTTAGTAGGTCTACCGTCAAGTTGTACCAGCTGTTTACGTGCTGGTCCTATGGCAGTCTGAAAGGCGAGGAGAGAGTGAGATTGAAACTATATATACATATTTTGGAATTATAGATCGTATTGTTCTTTTCCAGGGAGCAGTTAGACAGTTCTGAAGCCCCTATATATTCACAGCGGTTGTGCATTTCGCCATTTCGTGATGGAGCCAATAGCTAGCAATAACAAATGCAAAGGTTTGCCGCTGTTCGATTTGATGGTGTCGACGAAATAGTGGAAGCAGAGCTGCAATCTGCATCGGCGATCAATTGTGTTCGAACCAGTCGAGCTGTTCGCAGCTTTGACAGATGAGACTGAAACAACCGTGCGGCCCGACGTCCCGCGCGCGTCCAGGTTCAAACTTTAGAGAGTTCAGAGCCAGTTCGCTTGATCGTTCAGAGCCAGTTCGGCTTATAAACGGACCGATGATGTTTTGTTGTGAGAAAATACTGTATCATGACTGATAAGCATGGCTGATACGATCCAGCGAACATGGTGGTTGCGCGTTTGTGGATAGGGCTTCCGTGCAGGTGAGGTGTGCATGTGCAGCGTGCGGAAAACCCCGAGTTGTTGGCACGTTCCCTCCTCTCCGCGCGCTGTGCGGATTCGTGCAATGGCGGAGCGCACGCACGGGGAGCAGGGTGTCGAGTCGCCGTTGGAGCGGGCCGCGCCGTCTCTACGGTGACCTGTTTATCTCGGCGCGAGGCGCGAGGCCTGGCGGACGCTGCTCGGCTCCACTGGTCTGCTCCCGTTCAGATTTGTTTGCTGCGCGCCGTGCAGATTCTCAGAGAATCTGGCATCGCCGGCGTACGTGCGCTGTGAGCCTGTGAGCGTACACCCACTCGGTTGGACTCCGACTCCGACTCAGAAGACCGACGCTGCAAAGTGCAAAACCCCCGCCGTGTCGCGTGGGATCGCACGACGTCGGCGCTTTTGGAAACTCCTCCTCGTGCAGTCCCTGCCCCTGCCAAACCTCTCCCGCTCGCCGTGCGGAATCGGGGAGTTCCGACGCGCGCACGGCTATTTTTGGTAACAGCTGCGGTTCGCGGTGCTAGTCGGATTCCGTCACCGAGTCGATTTCCCATCTCGAAGAGGAGATATGGAGTGCGTGCATAAATAGACCGGGAACGTGAGCGCGACATACGCGCGCCGCTCGCCTCCTGCCTTCTTTCTTCTATATACAGTTTCCTTTCCCCGCTCGCCGCCGCCACCAGCGCACCACGCCACCGGGCTCCTCTGTTTCTCTCTCGCTAGCTCTCTCGGAGATGGAGATCATGGATCCCTTCGCCTACGAGCTTCTCAGTCAACCGCTGCCCCCCGGCTTCGATCCATTCTCCGGCAGCGGCGGTGGCTACGAGGCCATGGACATGGAGCAGCTGGACAACTACTTCCGCGCCATCGGAGTCCTCCCTCCGCTTCCGCCCGCCAACGCGCACGTCCAGCCGGCGCCCCCTGCTTCGTCCTACGATGACGACGGTGCCGCCGCCCTGGCTACGTACGACAGCGACGACGACGACATCGGCGCCAGCCTCCGGGACATGGAGACAGACACCAGGCAGCGGCCGTCGCCGGGCTGCACGGCCCCGCTGGCGCGTGCCGCGCTGGTCCAGTGGATGCACGACTTCGCGCGGCACTTCGGCGTCGGCCAGGACGCGCTCCACCGCGCCGTCAGCTACGCCGACCGTTTCCTCTCAGCGAGCGCCGCCGTCACGGGCGCCGACATCCGCAACGACTACCAGCTCCGTCTCCTGGGCGCGGCGGCGGTCTACGCCGCGTCCAAGTACGAGGACAGCAGGGACACCGCGCAGAGGATGATGAACGCGAGAGACATCGCCGTCTGCTGCGGGTTCGCGTCGAGCCGGGAGGTGCTGGACGCGGAGCGCGCGCTGCTCGCGGCGCTCGGGTACCGGCTCGGCGGGCCCACGGCGCACACGTTCGTGGAGCACTTCACGAGGCGGCACGTCGGACAGGAGGTGCGGCGCAGGGCGCACGCCCTCGCCGACTCGTCGCTGTTCGACCACCGCTGCGTGAAGCTCCTGCCGTCCGCCGTGGCGGCTGCCGCGGTCCTGCTCGCGAGGCTGTGCCTGGAGCCGGCGCACTCGCACGACCGCGAGCAGGTACGGAGGTGGAGCAAGGAGCTCGAGGGGCTCACCGGGTACAAGCCCATGGACGTGTACGACGGACTGGACTGCATGTACGACATGTTGCCTGATGATCCTGGCTTCGACCTCTCTCCACTGCTCTTCGCGGATCCGATCCCGAGCTAGCCTGCAGAAGTAGCCCGCGTTAATTCCAACGTCCATAAGCGCACTGGCTTTAATTTAGTGGCAGTTTTGTGCGTTGAAATCCAGCTTTGTAATGCTTGCATTATCTATTATCATTATTACCAGTTCATATGCAAGTGAGCATGTATAAAGATTCCTCACCTGCATGTCATGTCATTGAGGTACAAATTGCTGTGGAAAGTGAAATTAGAAGTCATGTTGGTGGGACAACATTTTCTTTGGCTTGCAGACTCGGTTGGTCTGGAGTTTTATTTGTTCTTGCTTGCTTGATGCTTCTGCCAATCCGTGTGTTATGTCTTCAGAGCAGTGTTATACACGATATTATTGGTAAACGCAACTGCAATTTGAGGAACTAAGATAGCAGTGTAGGGTAGATTTACGATATTATTTGTGTAAACGCAACTGCAATTTGAGGAACTAAAAAAGATTTGTCTCGTAATTTACAATCAAACTATGAATTAGAATCTAATCTAGGTGTAGAAAGATTTAATATGCAAGAACTTGCAATCTAAACAAGGCCTTAGCGAGAACTAGGTGGGAATCAGGATGATTTCAGCGTGGCAGGAGCCCGCCAGGAAGATGTTTCAGAGTTTCGGTTTTGACAGTTATCAAGCGTGTTTCTGTTGCATGCCGTTCCCGTGGCCCGACTGGGTCCACCTGTCATTCCCTCCAGCTACCTGGTCCACTTGTCAGCCACGGTCTTTTCATTTTGTTGTCGGATAACAAACACCGCCTTCTAGTCCTGCTTGCGCCGCCGCCTTCCCAGATCTCGCGGAGTCTGCAATTGCGGCGCAAGGTAGAACTAGAACCGCAAACGCTGATACGAACATAGCGGCTTGATATTGCAGTGGGAATTTTCGTTCATCCATCCATGTGGCTATACCATTTGGTTATATAGCCAATGACAATGTGGGGTATTAGCCTATCCCAATGACATGCAGGACGAGCCCCCACATGTTATTGAAAATAGGCTGATGTTAGAGATGATATAAGTGCCCTCAAATGGTGATGAAAATATTCCAATTTGCAAATAAACCCTATTTTTCAATTGCGAGTAGTAGTCACGGTGCAAATATTTACAACCTTGACACCAAATTGCAAACTGCCTTCCAGGCTAATCGCAACTCTCACACAACATCAACGAAACATCACAACTCTCACGCGATATCAACGAAACAGGGGCATGCAGCGTGCTGTTGTTGAGCATCTTGCAGCCTCGATCGCCAGCTACTGCAATGAGGAGCAGGCTGACACAAGCTAGGCTGAGAAGATGGTGACACAGCTTAATCTAGGAAGTGTATGTAGTTATGAATCCCAGCTCAAAGAGAGCAAGTTACGAACCAGAGTGGCACCACAAAAAGTCAAAACGATGAACTCACATGATACGCAAACACAGGTAGAACATGATAGATGGTACTTGTGACGAACAAAACCAACCACGGTTTAGCAGCTGAAACAGCACAACGCGAGACATTCCTCACCTAATGTCTTCAAAATGACATCTTAATCTAATGGGGCAAATATCTCATGACAAGAAAGCATGTTTTGCCTAGAACCAGCATAACGTGGCACACCCTACTAGTGTCTTCAGAATGCCATCTTAGGCCTTGTTTAGATTACCTCAAAATTCTAAGTTTTTTCACTCTCTCTCCATCACATCAATTTTTAGATGTATGCATGCAGCATTAAATGTAGGTAAAAAAAATAACTAATTACATAGTTTGGTTGTAAATCACGAAATGAATCTTTTGAGCCTAGTTAGTCATCGCAAAGCAGTCAAATTTTGTGTGCTTGCAAAATTTACAATCTAAACAAGGCTCAAAATACAAGTTCAGCAGCAGCCTTTGTCTGCATTAACTCTCATACAGTACGGAAGAAAGAGTTTTAGTGAAGATGGCTCGGCACTAGTAACCCAGAAACCGAAGAGGTGAGCTGATTTGCGTCACTGTTATCTTCTCTCACTGGTCAACAACCTGAATCATAAAGAAGAAATAGTTGTTAGCACAATTCCAACTGCCTAGGAATCAAACAGATTGGATTTTGATGATAAAATAACAAGTGTAATTGGTAAATAAGCCAAACTGGCTTGCAACCAGAAAATGGATCCCAGGTATATGTGATGTTTAAAGTGCACAAGTGCCAAACAGCATTCACAGGTATACTTTCATAGGACTCGAGGTTTTTCTAGTAACTCATTTCATCAGCAGAAATTCATGCAAAGATATAGAAAAGAGAATAAAACCATCTAAGTTTTGTGTAAAGATAAGAGCATTGAACCGTAACTCTTGTTAAAATAGAAGGAGTAATCAGTCATAGCTTAAGAATCATCAAATTGGTACGTAGATTCTCTAGTTTTGTGTAAAGACCTTCGATTTCTAAGTTCCAGCTCAAAATGGGCATTGCTTAACTAACTTTCTGAAAGAAGATCCAAAAGAAGGCAAACAAAAACACAGTAAGGTACAAAATGGAAGGATTCACAATTATTTGTGGCTAACTATTATCAAACGCTAAGGTGGCAATATATCATTCATTATAATTAATGACAGCAATTATTAAATGCTAGGTGATAATGCCTAACATATCAACACGTAATTCTGATGCGTAATGAAAGGTACAAAAGTACCGTTTCAAAATATAGAACTCCTGAAAATACACAAGTACACTACTATCTGGCAGATTTCAGACACATGAAATGCATACATATCACACAAGAGTTGAAACTATGCTAGCAAATATATACAGTTGGCAAGATTGAATCAGGTCTAAAGATAGTTATCTATTTCTAGCAATTCTAAAGAATAAAAAGTTTGGTTGCTTGTGTTTAGTAAATTGGCATAAGCAAAGAAGCTCAGTTGTAGATTTAAACTAAACCTGACCTCATCAAACTAAAAATTCGAAACCACTATTTAAGCAACAGAGCAAACAAACTAAAAACAGCAACTTCTTGGATTCAGGCAACAATCAAAGTCAAACAGATCTGCAGATTCAAAACCTAGCCTAAAAGCTATTAGTAGTAAACATAGAACTTCTTTTGTTTGGAAAACCCAAATCTAAGGTACGTAAAAGCAAAGTATTAAACATGTTCCTAAACACAAAACAAAGACATTAAAAGCATTTTGTTTGTTCAAAATATAACACAGCTTACAAACTACTGTGCATGAATCAAATCATCCTACAGCTAGGTGGCTGGAAAATGGATGACATATTCCTATTTCGACAACTGGCTCCTACTATACAAAGATCTGTCACCACATTTATGTAGCCAGTAGATCATAACCATCAGAAACAAGGGAATATGCTAGTGCCTTCCACTGCAGTCTGCAACCAGCTTACAAACTACTGTGCATGCATCAAATCATCCAGGACACAAACACATAAAAGATTGATCTCTATTTGATCAAGCAACATCGCATAAACAAGTGACGTGAACATGGAAGCCAAGCAATGTCTCAGCAAAAAATCAACGAGGAACACAAGCATCGAGAACAAGGAGTTGGCACAGATGGGGCCCCATGCTTGCTGTTGTGGAGTTCTACAGAATGTGAAGTTTCAATTATAGTATTCCTTTGTGTTAACATTCAGGTTTAGTATCTAGACACACAAGGTATATATAACCTGTAAAAGGCTCAATTGCACAAGTGCAAGTTACAACAAAGCCTGAAGTACACAAAACTCAAAATTTGTGAAGTTAAGTTGACTACTGAGAAATGAAATAACCAAAGCAGTCCAAATTCACACATAATAAAAATTATTACCAACAATTCAAAAGGAAGTCAATCTGGAGTGTTGAATAATACTGCGTTGCCCAACACAAACTTCAAATTTGGTAATTAAGTATATAGAACTTATTCAGAAATTAGTTTGTACCAAATATAAGTATATACCACATCCTACAGCTACCGGAGGGTACACAATTCACCAAACTGATTACCATCAAGCTTTCTACAACTATGTGCTAATTTCCATGTTCTAAAATTTTGCGAGTAAGTGAGAGAAATAACTGTATAACAAATCCAAAAAGAAAAGGATACGTTCCCTCTACTTCAGCAAGATGCTATGACAAAATATGCATGCATCAGAGCATACAGATAATCATAAAGAAAAATAATTAATGGAGCATTTCATCAAACAAAACTTCTTATAAACAAAGCTATGGAAATTACCAGAAAGTCAGTTTCTTGGAGTGAGGAACTCAGGCGGCCAGGCCAAGGTGTAGGCATAGATAGGGTCTCCGTGCTCCTTGCCATCTTTCATCACCAAGCGCTCCAGCTTGCCGGTCTCCAGATGGAACGCGTAGCGCCCATATCCCCATGTACAGATGAACACCTTCCTGGTGCGAGCGTAGTCCATGTCGCTGAGCCAGGTGCAAAGCATCCGCATCATGCTGTTCTTGGGTAGTCCAGGCACGGTTTCGAGCACTTTGGTCATGCAAATCTCCCTCTCCAGCAACCACCCCCTGTCACTCCTCCTGGCCTCTCCACGCACCCAAATCTGCAGACTCTCTTCGCTAACGATCGATGCCATGCACAGACGACCGTCCTCTGGCGTCTCTCCGATGCGGTACTTCTTGAAGCGATCCCCCAGGACGGCAGGCACGGGCATGAACGAGAAGTCCAGCGTGCAAGGATCCAGCTGGAGTAAGCGGCTGGAGTTGCAGATGTGCCAGTAGATGTTCCCAGCGGCGTGGACGCAGCGGGCCTCGAACCACCACGGGTCGAAGTCCACGATGACCCCCTCGGCCCTCGGCAACGCGCGCCAGGCGCAGTTGCCTTCGCGGACGGACGCGACCCAGGCACGCGGGCGGTCGCCGTCGATGGTGAGGCAGACGGCGTCGAAGGTGAGCCTGCTAGGGTGCGCGCGAGAGAGAACGGCGACGCCGATGACGCACCTGTCGCGGCGCCAGCCATCGGCAGGCAGCGCGTCGCGCGGTGGCGGCGGGAGCAGGACGCGGCGCCGCGACGCCGGGTCGACGACGAGGATGC